ACACCACCACTGTCGTCTATGCAACAATTCAATAAAAATGTCTGGGAAGATTTCTTGCATACCAAATCTGGTAAATTGATCACCCAAATTATTTAAGTGTAATTTTTTTTCTTACGCATTTTTGTATACTAATTTAAAATGATTTTAACATGAAATATAATTTCTAAATTGCATGCATGTAATATAAGGTAAATATGCAATGGGAAATATAAAGCAGTGATTGTAAAGTTTCATAATGTACGAGGATTAGAATAGAAGCCTGGTTTTATTGATAATATAATCAACTTTACATCAGCTGTCGCTACAAGATATTCATCTTTATAACCAAAATAACTATGGAATTGCGTAAAACAACAGCATGCATTTAAAACTTAAGTGGATATACTAATTGCATTAGATAAGTTGTTGTTTTCCGTAATTGTAGAAGCGACATATTCGGCTGCATGTTGTCAACAAAATGCTTTTTTCTCAAAAGCTATTTGGTGGTAGCAACTACACTAGCTTCCGTTTGTAAGAAACATTTTTTTCATTTACTTTAGGTCTTCAACGCAATCATGCAAATTGAGTTGTTCATCTTTTGTGATAGTTTTTAGTTTCTTTTTTGAACGAGTGTCAAGTGTTCCAATTGTAATTTGGGTCGAAGTTTTCTTGCATTTGCTTGTTGTAGTTGATGTATTTGAATTATCATATGTTGTAACCGGAGTGACAGAGTTACTGATATCATTGATTGTAGGAAAAGCATTGATGTTCATCAGTTCGGTGGAAGAGGTATGATCAATTGCTACTGGCGAACAAGTGAATATAATATCGTAACGGTATTCTAGTGGAGTTTGTCTTTTTGGAATGACTTTTAAGTAAAAGAGTTGATCTTCTTCACTTTCAACCTTTATGGGATCAACAATGTTTGTACTCGACTCCTACTATAAGAACCGTATATTTATATTATATTTTTTATTATATCTAAAGGGAAAATGATATCATGATGGTAGAATGTGAGTATAACCTTTTCAATATGATTCATTAGCTCAGTAGCATTGGCTTCCAATAAGGTCTCAGCTATGTCACCTATCATACTTGCATCTAGTCCTCCAGATTCATCTTCAAGGTGTACAAAAACATTTGCTCTGCATGAAGGATGAAATGAACAAAAGTCAGATAATATATTTTAAAGATAGTAGTAATTTTACTGAACTGATAAGTAGAAGGTGTTCATACCATGGTGTTGTTTTTGCATGTTCGAATTTGCAAAAACGACATTTATGAACTTCACCCAAGTTTGCATTAGACGTTTTATTACAATTACTGCAAGCCAAGTACTAGAATCTTTGTTGCATTGTTGTAATTTTCCAGTGTGCTTTCACCCAATACATTTTTTTATGTAGGCAAACATATTTGAGAAATGGAAAATATAGAAAGAAGAGAATGTGTAAGGGTGCATGGAAAATGTAAAGTATTTGAAATAGGTATACATGTATATACTTTAGTACGTATGAAATTACCTCTAAGTGAACACCTTGCAAATCTACAATGGATGTGCAGTTTTTCGTATCTGGAGGTGAAATTTTCGGTTGTGTTATTACAACAGCTGATTTATCTTCAATTAGTTTGTCAAGCATCCCTTCATTTGTGTTAATCGTGCAATGGGAAAAAGTCAACCAATTAAGTATCGAATGTAAATATTATATTTTATGAAGAAGTTTTTTTAGTTGTAACCATTCTCTGTAGTCTGCTACTGCTGGAATGTTCGCGTTGATGAAAAAAGTACTATTTACTTTCGTAGAAAGTGTGATACCTAATACAAAGACAATTATATGATAAGTTTTTTGATGACTTAAATATCACTATAAGGGAAATATTGTATTTGGGTTTGAGTTACCGTTATATGAAGACATTTTTAGATTAATTGTCCATATGATAGGTTTCTTGCAAAGGTTTTCATTTATTAGAATTCATTTTGTATCAACAAACGTATCCCACATCGTTAACATCATGGTTTGAAAATATTTGTCTATGAGTATAACATTTTGAAGACATGCTTCTATCCCGAAATGAGTCTGAATAATTCTTTTTTGATGAACTTCAATAGGGATGCCTATAATACCTGCAATAGAATATAAGTTATGTTATTAGACATAAAGTGTAGATGAATGGAAGAAAAAATTACGACATGGCAAACAAAATTATAGTAATTAGTTTGGTAATGTCCATATTTGTATCCGTGTATTGTTCCAAACGGTTGAATGGTGTTATTTCATATCTCGAGAATACGAAGTGAAGGTTATCTTCGTGGAGTTCTTCTATTTTTGTTCTGCCAGTAATTGTCCAAACTTTATCTTGGCTGATTTTTGTTATATTTAACTGTTGCATTTGATATCATATATGTTTTTCCCAGTTTCAGTTCATCTGTCACAGCAGTAATATTTGCGTCGTAGAGAATAGCCGCAACTGTAATGCCCTGTTGAAATATCGAAACAAGATAAAGAAATATATATATATAATGAAAGAGAGATTTATCATTTTATCATCATCCATGTACATATACACTTGTAAATCCATAAGAGAAATGTTTTGATATCTGCTAGTGCTATTGCGAGCAGCTTTTGGTGATTGTTTTCCTGCGACGACAACTTTAGCAGACCAATTTTTTTCAGATGTAGAAATTTGTCGGATGGATTTATAGATCGTAGACATTGTAGATATCTGTGAAGAATATGAGAAATATTTTTTTACTATTGTCTACTGATTTTTACACAAATAAAAGTAGAATATATCAAATGTAAAGTAATGACAGGAGAATAATAATTTACTAGAAGTTCGAAAAAGTTGATTGCATGTGTGAATGGGAAATATGTTTTTTGTAAAGGTATTTATAGAAAATGTTATAGAAAGTAGCTATAGAATAATTGTTTTCTATGTATAGCGTATACGTGGTTGTATTATAGTGGTTAGCAAGATAATTTTTGTACGAATTCTATATGTAATAGTAAAGTATCTCTTTTTAAAATATCTACTTTGATGAAAAAAATCTAAATGTACAGTTGTATACGTGTAAAGTGTAAAATTACAAAAGGTTTCTATAATCTTCTTCAACCTTGTTTGCATAGATTTCCGTTTCTGTAAACGGTAAAGATGGAAAAGGTTTCTAGTGTCTACTTAAGTCTTGTGTGTGTGTCGTACAAAATATCTATATGGTGTAGAAACAATATTTTACTTTTTATATGTCATAATAATTAGAAAAAAACGTCAATACCCAAAAGAATTAAGAATACATTTCAGATTTGGATTCATCTTGGAGGTTTTTAAAAAGATTTGAAAGTTCTTTTGAAGCTTTAGTAAGAACATGATGAACTTTCCTGCCATTTTTGAATATATCTATGTCAAAGTTTTTTTCATTAGTAATTTGATGACACACATGAGAAGTTACATAAATCAAGATTACTAATAACATGGAACTAAAAACTTTATATAATGCCAGCTACTCTATAGAATCATTCAAAATTTTAAAAGCTAGATATAAAATTTATTTTTGAACAAGAAGAATATCGAGTGGAATCGTTGTTTGGGAAGGTATTCTCAGCATTACAAAGATTCCTTATAAACTCTTTGCTTTCCTATGCAAACAAGCCTTCATCAATACTGCCTCGAGTTTAAAACCAAAACAAAAATTCAAGTAATATGAGGAAGACAATAAATGAAATGAATAGTTTATTGTTAATTAATCCAACGAAATTAAAGGAACTGTGAAATTAAATGAATGAGTAATGACTCATAAGATAAGCATGTAACATTGAAAATTACAACTTCAAGAAAACATAGTATTAATAAATATAAG